CTTCTTCATCAGATGCGGAAGATTATGAGTTTAATCATTATATTTATTTGAAGCGCTTTTTTTCCCTGAATGAGATGTCAGCTTATAAGCTGTTAAGTTGTTAAAACCTGATTTCTTAGAAATTCCCTTGAGAGTGTTTGCTTACTTTCTAGAATAACATAATCACTCTCGCATGATTACAGTTTTTATTTGGATTGAGTCCAAACGGCTTGCGACTCATAGTCGCCGGACCCAAAACGCGAAGCGGGCGTGATAGCGTGGACCTTCACGATCTTTGAAGAGCTTTTATGTTAAATATTCCACCTTAAATATTATTTTGTTTCCATTAAAAAAACCTAGAAGGGAGAGAGTTAGCATTTTCTTAGAATTGCAGTTTTGAGAAAGCTCTTTTAAAATTCCAAGATTATAAATTCTTATCTCTCCACTTTCCTGAAGATTTCAAAAAAAAAAACCCAATGTTTTCTAGTTTCAATTTTCACTCGGACTTCAAGCAATTCATCTTCTTACCAGATTGATCATATCGTTATCCATCCACTGTATGGCTTCTACTAACTTCTGCGGCGCTATAGGAGGGTTATACACCTATACATTTGTTCATATTAGTATTTTGCATAGGCAGCATGAAAAGATTACCTTTTCTTCAGTTTCAGGTCTATCGCAATTGGCATACGCTGTTGACACATGTACAAGTGCCTAAAATAATTTCAGATCTTTTCGATTCTTCCCCAAAACGCTGCATTTTTCACTGCGGCTTACTGATAACAGCAATCACCGCTGTGATTACTCTACCTATCAACGCTGTGCAGTCGGGCTCAACTTTAGGACAGGACAAAGGTTAAAGCTAAGATCGACAAGAAGAATAGATGAAAATAACCTCTAAAGTGAGAAGTATTTGCAAAGAATGGAAACCTAAACCCTGGTATAATGCAAAATTGAAAGTAAGATGAAAAGATGAAAGGAGCATAAGCAAAAATTTGACAAATTTTTCACAACCAATATGCGTTACTCGGTTGCCCTCAAAATCTATAGATTTTTTAATTGGAAGGATCATACTGTTGAACCAAAATTTTTCACCTCTTCTTATCTGGTCTGTCGTCTTAAGCGACTTTTCTGGGCCTCAAATGTTGCGAGTCCTTTGAACTAGACAATAACCAATCAATTCTTGCACAGAACTCGACTAAATTAACTGACAAGCAAACCATTATCTGGTCCAAAAAGTTGCTCTCAGTAGTTAATTAAATGCAGAGGCTCTTACAAAGAAGGCCACAAAAAAATTTTTTTTCTCGTGTGTCCCATAATTTCTGCTAAGAAACTAACTTGGATCACGACACTCGCCTGCACATCTTACGAGTT